ATGATACAGGACTTTTCTATTCAGTTTAACACGCTCTATCTGCCCATTCCCGGTGGTTCGCGAATTATGGGACACCCTGTATATGAATGTATGTATGTATGTATGTATGTATGTGTATATATACGCAGGATGTCCTGCAACGTGATATCCACAGTGAAACTTTGTATTCTTGAGATCATTCAAAAAATAAAGATGATTAATTTGCAAGATTTTCTTTATCTACAAATTTTTTGCGATATTCTAATGACACCCCCTTTATTCTTATATATTATATATATATATATATACACACGCGCGCACACACACACACACACACACACACAAACACGCGCGCGCGCGCGCACACACGCACACAAACACGCACACGCACACGCGCACACGCACACGCGCACGCACACGCACACGCACAGGCACACACATATATATACAGGGTATCCCAAAAAGATCGGAACACTGAAAAATCTCGAAAAGTATACGTTTTACAGAAAAAAGTTTTAGACAAAAGTTATAAAAAATCTATTCATTGATCTGATCAGTTTGACCTTGGACAGTGTTACCAAGGTCAGAATAAGGTTACCTTAAATTTCTTAGATGGAATCCTATATTTTTTATTACATATTCTTGTAGCTTATCTCGAGGGCTTTCCAAAACACTATAATAAAATTATTTTTCATAAAGTGCTCTTTGAGTTATAAAGGTTAGAAGCTAACAATTTTTTGACATAAAATATATCTTTATAAAATATTCCATTTTCGATAATCATACCTACTTTTTTGCACAGTATAATAAAAAATCAATTTATTAAAGAAAACAGATAATTGAATATGTAATATTCAATATGCAGCAGCATACTTTTTTTATAAGCAACTACAGGGTTTGTCCGGAAAGTAATGCGTCGCATTTTTTGTGACGCGACTATACATCGCAGAGCGATGGGACCGGTTGGGGAGGAAGGGGGGTACCCTTAGCTTTCCAACGGTAGGTCGCTCAATTGTTTCCATGCGCTTGGAGGGTTAGGACGGCTTATTCTGTGAACCTCTGCTTAGTGGTCGCGTCGAACTTGTGATGGAGAGAACGATAGAGCAACGCTATGCGATAAAGTTTTGCGTGAAGCTGGACAAGACGCCGCTGGAAACTTTTGAAATGCTCAAGAAAGTTTTCGGGGACGATTGCCTTTCCAAATCGCAGTCAAACAGATGGCACAAGATGTTTAGAGAAGGTCGGAAGGAGGTCGCCGACGAGGCCCGCGCAGGACGCCCGTCAACATCGCGAACGGACGACAATGTGACTCGTGTGCGCCAATTATTGAATTCAGACCGTCGAATGAATGTTCGCTTAATGTCGGAATTATTGAACTTGCCGAAAACGATTGTTCACGAGATTGTATCGGAAGACTTGGCCATGCGGAAGATTTGCGCAAAACTTGTGCCCAGAGTGTTGACCAATGCGCAAAAGCAACACCGAGTGGAAGTTTGTGAAGAACTCAAGCAACTCTGTGCAGATAATCCCAATTTCCTGAACAACGTTCGGCGGACTTTTTTTTATTTCCTCGGCTGAAAAGGGAGCTCAAAGGACAACAGCTCGAGTCGGTTGACAACGTACAAGCTACTTCGACGGCCTCCCTGAACAGCATCCCAGTCAAGGAGTTCCAGAAATCTTATGACGCATGGAAATCGCGTTGGCAAAAATGTATTGACGCAGAAGGGTCATACTTCGAACAATTTTAAGTTGTTTCACCTATGCGATCAATAAATTCTTTTTTAAAAAAATGCGACGCATTACTTTCCGGACAAACCCTGTATGTGTTTTTTTACACCAATTCATTGGTCTCATTATTCCGTGCAAAAAAGATATGATTACCGAAAATGGAATATTTTACAAAGATATTTTACATTTTATGTCAAAAAATTGTTAACCTTTATAAATCAAAGAGTACTCCATAAAAAATAATTTTATTAGTTGTTGGAAAACTCCAGATAAGCTACAAGAATATGTAATAAAAATTATAGGATTCCATCTAAAAAATTCAAAGTGACCTTATTCTGACCTTGGTAACGCCGTCCAAGGTCAAACTGATAAGATCAATAAATACATTTTTTATAACTTTTGTCTGAAACTTTTTTCTGTAAAACGTATACTTTTCGAGATTTTTCAGTGTTCCGATTCTTTTTGGGACACTCTGTGTATATATATATCAAAATCGAAAATCGAATATACGTAACCCGCGGAAATTCAAAATTCGCGATACTTTTTGAACACACCTCGTATATATATATATACGAGGTGTGTTCAAAAAGTATCGCGAATTTTGAATTTCCGCGGGTTACGTATATTCGATTTTCGATTTTTTTGTGGCGTTATGTTGGTACTCATGTTTCTCATTTATGCCGACAAGTACGGCTATTTTGAATGTTCAGTTAATTTTTGACAGCTGCTTTGCTTGCACGTGTTTTGGCTCGTCTTCGATTTTTGCCTATTCCAAAAAATGGATCAAAGAATCTGTATCAAATTTTGTGTGAAAAACAAAATTAAGTGCGCGGACGCATTCCGAATGTTGACTGTGGCATATGGTGAAGCTACCTTGGACCGAAGCAACGTTTATCGGTGGTACAAAATGTTTTCCGAGGGCCGAGAAGATGTGAACGACGAAGAGCGTGCCGGACGCCCGAGCACGTCAACAACAGACGAAAACATTGATGAAGTGAAGAAAATAGTATTGGTCAATCGTCGAATCACCGTTAGAGAAGTTGCTGAAGACCTAAACATATCGATTGGCTCGTGCCATTCGATTTTTACCAATGATTTGGGCATGACACGGGTCGCCGCGAAATTCGTACCAAAATTGCTCAATTTCGACCAAAAACAGCATCGCATTAACAACACACTAATAATGCCGCAGCCACCGTATTCCCCAGATCTGGCCCCCTGTGACTTTTTCTTGTTCCCGAAACTGAAGAGGCCCATGAAAGGACGACGCTACGCTACGATTGAGGAGATAAAGACGGCATCGAAGGAGGAGCTGAACAAGATCACAAAAAATGATTTTTTGAAGTGCTTCGAAGATTGGAAAAAACGTTGGCACAAGTGTATAATATCTGGTGGGGATTACTTTGAAGGGGACAAAATAGATATTCATGAATAAATAAATAATTTTTGAAAAAACACAAAATTCGCGATACTTTTTGAACACACCTCGTATATATATAATATATATACACATACCTATTGATTTATTTAGCAATCTGTCTATCTATCGAACTATCTATCATCTATCGATTAACCTATCTATCTATCTATCTATCGATCTATCTGTCTCTTCTCTCTTTTCTACATTGCATTCTTTTATATATGCACACGTATATAATAATTTTTTAAAATATTGTACATTACAAAAGTAAAAATAATTAAATTTATAATCTAAAAATATATAAAAATTTTTTATGAATATAATGATTACAAAGATTTAGTAGATAATTTTTGTAATAATAAATTATTTATATGATTTAGTTGTATCTAACTACTGCTCTGTTTTGATAATAATAGCATTATTATGTATTCAATCTCTAAAATACTTTATATATAAATCATTTATTACAAAGAATTATTTACTTTATAATCAATTATAATTATTATAGATAGGCCTGTTTATACACATACACACACTTACACACAATATATATGTGTATGTGTATAAACAGGCCTATCTATAATAATTATAATTGATTATAAAGTAAATAATTCTTTGTAATAAATGATTTATATAAAAGTATTTTAGAGATTGAATACATAATAATACTATTATTATCAAAACAGAGCAGTAGTTAGATAAGAATAAATTATATAAATCATTTATTTATTATAATACAAAAATTATCTACTAAAACTTTGTAATTATTATATTCATAAAAGATTTTTATATATTTTTAGATTATAAATTTAATTATTTTTACTTTTGTAATGTACAATATTTAAAAAAAATTATTATATACGTGTGCATATATAAAAGAATGCAATGTAGAAAAGAGAAAAGAGACAGATAGATCGATAGATAGATAGATAGATAGGTTGATCGATAGATGATAGATAGATAGAAGTGCACATGCGCATTTATCATCCTTATGATGATATACTTAACTCGATACCGGTCTTCTTTGCCGTGCTACATGTCGATAGATAGACAGATTGCTAAATAAATCAATAGATATGTGTATATATTATATATATATATATATATATATATATATATATATGTATGTGTATGTATACATATATAGAAAATGTATATAAATAAACTAACCTGTACATCCAGCCCTTCTTGAAGGAAACTCTACGTTTCGAAAGGGGCAAATGTTTGGCGTCATATTTTCGTCCCATGGTGTGAACAACACACAAACTCAAGTATACGCTGCTTTTTACGCGTATGAACGTGCATAGCACCGCGCGACGTGAGTGAGGCGTCGCACAGTAGATCATATCAACGTATAATACGCGCGGATTACTGTGGTACATACATACTACTGATACCGCGCGAATACGAAAGATCTGACGCGCATTTTTACGTACATAATAAATCGGAATATTTGATAAAAAAATATATATATAAAATATATGATGAAAATATATATATATATATATATATACATAAATATATTATATATATATATATATATATATATATATACCCAGATAACACACGATGTTCTATGAATATTCTTATTAAATGTAAATGTTCTTAATTTCGGAATATTCGCATTGAATATTATATAAATATACATAGAATATTCCCAGATAGCACATAATGTTTTATAAATATTTTTAAAAATGCAAATATTCTTAATTTCGGAATATTTTAATTGAATATTATATAAATATACATAGAATATTATAATCAGAATCGGATTATTTCAACAAAGAAGAACGTTCTAAGAATATTTTTCGAGTTTATTTATTGCACATTATGTTAAGTGCACATGCGCATTTATCATCCTTATGATGATATACTTAACTCGATACCGGTCTTCTTTGCCGTGCTACATGTCCATATATTATTCTTGTGTTGCTTCGTATTGCTGCTTATACGAAACTTTTAATCACATTTTAATCAGAGGTAAGTGTCTTTTCACTTTTATTAATTTTATTATATAAAATTAAATAAGGTTTAAGAATATTTTTATAATTTTTACATCATTGTTAGAATCAAACATTTCAGTAAATATAAGGTTATATTTTTATAAAGTCGGACATAAAATATTTCTTTTTATTGTAGCACTAATACAAGGAAACTTTATTATCGCAATCATAAGGAAAACCGAAGAATGTGAGACGTTTTTATGGTAAGAATTATTATAAATAAATTTCTTTTTTAATTACAAGCATTTTTTAATTTTTATTTTTATTTTTTGTCTAGCTGAGAACATAAAAAAATAAAAAAAATACTACTAGAGCAAAATATTAGTAAAATATAAACTTAATTTAATAATAAAAATAATTTGCTTACTGAAATTAAAAATGAAACGTCGTTATTCTAAGACTACTTTATACAGAAAAATAAAAAGAGGAACAACTGCATGCTTAGAGTTATCACAAGATTGCTCCTTTGATGATAACGATTTATTATAACATCGAATAGCAATAATAAAAAGGTACTTAATGTAATCGCAGAAAATGTAGAAGACTCAGAATATATTGATGATAACGATGAATTACATTCTTCTACGAATGTGAACTGTTTTGATGATTTTAATTTGTATGATTCGAGTAGCCAATCTTGTGATAATTCTAATGATGTTATTGATTGTAATAATCCAATGTATTTGGAACACACTATTGTAGAAGATAATGCTCAAGATAGTTTTAGTAACAGACTGCGATTATGGGCAGTATCTTATAAAATTCCACATAAATTATTTTCCAATGAAGTAGCAGAAGGCTATAGCTGGATTGGATTTAAAGGAAAAAATAAGTTCTCTCTTTTACGTATTGCAGCTGTTATAATAAGTAAGTATTACACTCATATATGTACATGCACACACGTGCACAGTGTGTATATTATACTAATGATCCATAATAATCGAATCCTTTTTAAGTATAAAAAATTGTTCTGCCATATCAATTGGATATCAAATACAGATTCTAGAAATCCTATATATTAATTATTGGCTATTGAAGTAACATCTATGCACTTAAAAAGACTTAATTAATGTGGGTCAATGTGCTAAGTATAAATAATTAATATAATTGTAGTTATTTAATTATTTAAATATTATATTCCAGCGGCAGTGCAAAAAACACATAGCTCAATCACGCTGTGTGACATTGAAGCAGTTATCAAAGCATGGCTTGTCAAAGCAAAGTTTAGAAACACTAAAAAGACGACGTAATCTAATTCATTTATTATGATTTATAATAAAGTGGTCACACATCAAGAATGTGAAATGAAACTCTAAGAATACGATGAAAAATTAATTTTATTTCAAGGAACGAAAATTAATTAATTTAAATAAATTAAAATTAACTTTTTTATTTTTAATTAATTAATTAATTAATTAGATTTTTCAACAGTTGTGATCTAATTTTGTTACGAAGTATCTCTTAACTTCATTATTTCTTTAGAAGTAATTTTTTTCATTATTATTTTAAAAGAGATGCAATATTTATCAATTCCTTGTATCATTAATTTAGTATTTGAGTTTAATTTTAGTATTTTTAGTAATTCTTAGTAATTCTTTAGTAATTCTTTATTTTATAATATATTTGTTATAAATATTTACGTATGAAAATTAATTTAATATTAATATTTATAACGTTTTTTATACTAAGAAATACATGTGCAATAAAAAATTTAAAGTTTATAATTCTTTCAAATCTTATTACAAATTCTATTCCTAATACACACCCAGCTAGCAAAATGATACAAACTTTGCACAAAGATTGCGGCAAACTCGAGCAGGCCTTTGTAGCAAAATTGCAACAAGGTGTGTCCGCATTAAGCTGAGCTTTTGCTGGCAAGGTTTGTCACAACAGCGTGACGCAAAATTCACGTAAATAACAGAGCAAGCTTTGCCGTGCGCGTCATGATAGCAAATTTGTGGCAAGAATAGGGCAAGGTTTGATCTGGCACTATAAGACGCAAAATTCACGCAAATAACAAAGCAAACCTTGCCGTGCACGATGTGATAGCAAATTTGTGGCAAGAACAGGGCAAAGTTTGCTCTGACACAATGAGACGCAAAATTCACGCAAATAACAAAGCAAACCTTGCTGTGCATGACTTTAATAGCAAATTATAGCAAGAACAAAGCAAAGGTTGTCGTAACAGTGCGGATTGTAATTAATATAATAATTTAATGAATTAATGAGCTCATTAAAAAGATTTTAATTAATAGTATATTAAATTTTATATAAATAGATAAAAATAATTAAATTTTCTTTATATTTTATTATTATTATTAATATTAATAAAAAATATATAGAATTTTAATTATTTTTATATTTATTTATTTATATAAAATTTAATTAATGCTATTAAAGTCCTTCTAATGAGCTCATTATTTTATTATTAATTACAATCCGCACTGTTAAAACCTTTGCTCTGTTCTTGCTACAAATTTGCTTATATATTTGATTATATCAAATTTAATTAATACTATATATTAATCTCTCTAAATAGAGGGATAATACTTAAGCAATTTTTTTAAAGTTTCTATTATCAAAAATGTTTTATATTTATTTCCATATATTTATCTTCAAATTTTTATTTTTAAAAAATCGGATATCTATAATTTATAATCATATATATAAAGACATAAGCGTTTTATATGTATATATAGACCGCTATTTAATTAGTATATATATCACTGCTCAATCCTGAAAAACTCGATCAATCGGCGTCACGAAAGGAACTGACCGAAGCTACCTTTTCTTTCGCTATTATAATGATATTACATATATCGTACGACGAGTTTGTCGAACGTAGCAATTGGTTAACGAATAGAGAATTTCTAAAGTTTCTATCTAATATTCAATCGTTACGTCCGACCACCATCATTTTGTAGTATGAATGTAATATCGGCCTTAGACAATTGTGCTTTGCTTCACGCGTATTTAGACGGCGGGAAGATTGACACCATCTATTGCAGAATTATATAATGACCTTAAAGGTGCGTACAGACTTACAACAGAACATCGTAACGTAACACCGTCGCGTAACACCGACGAAATGCATGGACAATACCCCGTAACGCTTAAATGTTTGGTGCGAGGTACTGTCCATACATTGCGTCGATGTCACGCAACGGCGTTACGTTACGATGTTCTGTTGCAAGTCTGTACGCACCTTAATATAATCAACATAGTTAATTTAAAATCTTGAGCCTTAGAATTATTCGTAACATGTTTAGATTTTTAATCTCTTTTCAAATATAATAATTATAGACAAATATAAATATATTATCTATATAAATATAAATATACTGTCTGTAGATATATATTTGTCTATAATTATTATATTTGAAAAGAGATTAAAAATTTAAACATGACAAATGACTGTAGTATCAAGATTTTAAATTAACTATATATGTTAATTATATTAAAGCCATTATAATTCTGCAATAAATAGTATCAATTTTCCCGCCGCCTAAATACGCGTGAAGTAACGCATTATTGTCTAATAGCGAAAAAAAAGATGTTCTGTCAGTTCATCTGCGACATCTGATTGATTGAGTTTTTCAGGCCTTAACGGTGATATATCTAATTATTGAATAACGGAAACGATTTTTATTTCTTGACGATGTTATTGGACGCTGAGCCAAGTTGAACACCATTAATTTCGTCTTGGGAGTTCTCAACTAATAATAACAGCAACACCTGAAATATACAATATATACAATAGTACGAATATATCTAATACTATATTGTCCGTAAAAGAAACTTTATTGTCTGTCCGAAAAGAATCAGCAACGTTAAAGGAAGCAGCATTATCCAACTGTTTGTGCGTAACAGGATCTTGTGAAACATTTGAATGTAAAGTATTTTTAATTTCCAAAGTAATTCGCCTTCGTTGTCTCGCAGACAACCGGTGGAAAGATTTACGCGAAACAGAATATTTAACTGATTTCATACTTGCCTGAAAAATCTTCTAATCCTCTGCGATACCTTGCGGCACTTAGAACTTGGAAGCTCGTCTCAAAAATGTGGGAAGCTTCTAGAATTATAACCTCTGTGATAACCTTGCGGCACGTATGGTAGCACTCACGGTGGTTGAATTTAGAAGAACGCGGGAACAGTGCTGGAGGTTACAGGACAAAAATTCGCGCAAACGTAGTAGCGCGCATTAAAAGCGCGCAAACGTATGTGACACATGACTACGCCATGCACGGCAAGGTTTGCTCTGTTATTTGCGTAAATTTTGCGTCTCATCATGCCAGAACAAATCTTTGCTCTATTTTTGCCACAAATTTGCTATCACGCCATGCACAGCAAGGTTTGCTCTGTTATTTGCATGAATATTGCGTCTTATCGTATCAGAGTTAACTTTGCTCTATTTTTTTCGTAAATTGTTTGTTATACCGTGCATGGCAAGATTTGCTCTGTTTTTGTCACAAATTTGCTTTATATCGTGTATCACAAGATTTGCTATTATTGACGTAAAGTTTGTATTTCACCATGATACCATCATTTGCTCTCTTCTATAAGTAAAATTTACGAACAAACTTTTCTCTGTTAATTGCAGCATCATATAACGAAAAGTTTTGCCGTTAATTTGTTCGAAATATTTAGACAAGACGAAGCAAGGCAAATGTTTGCCAGAAAATTGTTGTTAAAATTAAAGCAAACTTTGCCGAAAAGCTTTAACGAAACGTGATTTTATCACTCTTGGCTAGCTGGGCAAAAATTCATATTACTTTATAGAAGTCTACATTCGTTTTATTTCCATTGGAAGCTGTTGAGAAAATAAAATTTATAATATATATGTTATGTGTGTATATAGGAATAAAACAAACACAAGCTATGTGCCTCTATACGTACTCTATACGTATAGAGTATAGAGTATAGAAACACATATAGCTTGTGATCGTTTATTCCCATATACATAACATATATTATAAATTTTATTTTCCCAATAGCTCCTAATGAGAAGGAAAACGAATACAGGCAGAATGTCCTATGAATATTTCGTAAATATTTCTAAAATCTGTTTTGCATATTACAAGAATATGTTGTGAATGTATTCCGTATATTACAAGAATATTGCAAAGAATATTTTGTAAATGTATTCCGCATATTATAAGTAGTCCCATTTTATTATTCTCCGCACATTTATATAATGTTCTTTTCATTATATCAGTACATTCTCAGAATATTCTAATATTCTCGAAAAATATTTATAGAATCTTTATAGAATATGTTTGTGTTATCTGGGTATATATATACACATATAACATATAACATATATAATATTGGCATATTATATCTACATATTTTTAGAAAGCATATTTTCTCTCTCTCAAATCACTCGCATACAATTATGAACGAGCAATTTGAAAAGAGAGAGAGAGAGAGAGAGAGAGAGAGAGAGAGAGAGAGAGTGTCAGAAGCACGGTCGTATACACACCGTGGTCAGAAGACAAGACAGCATGAGAGAGACGAAGATAATATGACTGTCTGTCCTTGTCTAACTACACGATTGCAGCTCCATCTATCGCGACATCGCGCAACTAATTTTGTGCTCTGTATTATTCCCAAATGTCATTTCGCACATACACATGTGAATGAAATATTCCATAACCAAGATCTTTTTTATTAGACTTCTAAACTTATTTCTGCAAGCTCACTAATATTCCTTTATGCAATCTTTTCCGCGAAGTGGTCTTATTTTGTACGTATAAATTGTGAAACTTTTATACAAGCAAATATTGTTATGACGTGACGCGAGAAGCCAGAAAAAAAACTCGTATTTAAAATTTTTGTCTTTTTATCACAAATTGAGACAGCTTCGCAGTTTATTATTATATTAACTTTAATCGTGGAAAAGCATTTGTTATTCTATTAACGCAATAAAAACTTCTTGGTGTTGGAAAATATAATCGGTTCGGCCGATAATAGTAGACCTCCGGCATCCCCTTAAACTATTAAATACACCAAATTCTTTAATATACATTATATATTGTCACTACCCCTCGATACGTGTACAATTGTCAAAATATGCAATGACAGTCGCTCACGAAATAAACGCTGTGACAGAATCAATCAGCATCGCGGAAAAGGGGCAACAATACATTCGAGACTTTCGAGAATCGACTTAACATGCCTTTTTTAGAAATGGATAATTTGCATCTTTTCATATAAATATATGTATAAGTATACAATGTGTAAATGACAATATCAAGCATTTTTGGGAAAAAGTAAGCATTTTCTTGAAAAATGTTTTAAACAAAAGTTTTCTAACTTCGAGGGGGATATAAGATAGTCCATAAGT